TGCTGACTCTCCCTCTCCAGGATAATTTATGCACATGGCCAACACTCCTGTGTAATTTAAATGATGAAACAGGAAACGACTTCTCAATATTACCAAATGCACAATTTTTTCTTTCATTCTTTGTTAACAAACTTTATGATAGACTAGGAATATAATATTAAACTACTGTACTGGTGTTACTGCAAATATGAAGAAGAATTTCTTTTTTTTTAATAAAAATAAACTTCGTGTGCGTGAATGTAGCAACGCTGGCCACTGACTAAATGCCCTGCCTCCAGAGTCCCAGCTCCCAGCTGCAACAGGAAGTAGTGGCCCGTGGGCTGAGGCTCTTGAGACCTCTGGGTTTCGAAGACAACCCATTAAAATTTGTGCAGAACACCTGTTATTTGATTAAAAACTAGCAGTCAACAGTTGTTGAGTAACATTTGTTTACACACACTCGATGCCACCACTGTTGGTATCCCTTGTTTAATAAAAACTAATGGTTACCCTTGGATTATTTGTGTATGCGAGCCAGCACTTAATATACGTCCGATTTTAATCTGTGTTTGAAGTACAGTACAGTATATGGTGAAGGGAGATGTGGGGTGGGCCAGGTGTTATGGTGTACGTGGATCAGCTGTGTAATAGCTAACCGAATTCATATATTTGTTTCTTCTTAAACCATTATAGCATTACATAAAATTATAAATCGTGATCTGAAATCTCTCATTTCCTTCCGCCCTCTTCATTTTCTTCTTTGCTCCTCTCGTCCTCACCATCCATCCTCGTCCGTCAGGAAGAGAGGACTGTCATCGCCTTCCTTCTCCCCACCACTCGTCTCGTCTCGTCTCTAAATTACTTTTGCTGGGCTGTGATGGATTCTCGCTATTTCTCCTCATCAAGGCCGCGGTGTCAGTTACCAACCAACTCGTTGCTTCCTTCTTACAATCTACACACAAAAATCTCACATTCCTTAAGTTTTCTTATGTTAACTAACAAAAATACAGTTATAATAACATGTGAAGTGAGTGTGAGAAACGTGCAATGGCGGACAGAGTAAGTTGAAGCAGCAAATTTGGTCACACAGGAATGTTAGGCATCTTGGTTTGAACCAACCTGAAGGGGGGGGGGGTATATTTAACGCCCTGCGCAATTCCCTTAATGATTTTGTTCAGCACTGACTAACTTACGCACCGAAAGCTTACACCATTTGGCTAGCCATAAAATCTGGAAACATATAAGATCGAATAACGGTTTATTAAGATAATATTGTACAACTTCAGATACTACACGTCGACCAGGGCGTGGTTGTCAGTGACAATTCCAGAAGCTTTGAATTTGTGTAACAGCTTTGCCCCGGTGCTGTGAGATACGTTATCTTTACCAGGACCACTTTCAAAAAGTGACCTGCAGCACCAACCCTCGCCACTACATATCAATATTAATTCTAAATTATCTTCTTTGGTCAATTTTATTTCTTGTGAATCACTTGTGAACTACTATTTTGGACGGCGGCGAAAGAACAAGTGTAGTTAGAAAATTTTCACTATTAATGTTCACTAACGACAACACGGACGAGGCAGACGATAGTTACGTGGCAGCGATCACAATCCAAGCCAACAGCCACTTAATTCATGCGGAATAATGAAAGTCCGAAGGCTGGCGTTGGACTAGTGACTGAAGTACCTTGTGTACTAGCGATCAAAGGAACACAACCATCTTCTAAATACAACTGTCATTAACCTGTTTTGTTAAAGTGTGACACAGAACCAGAGTCTTGGCATGTTATAGCCATTCCCTCCAATTCAACTGCCTCCAAATTGAGAAAACCATCAACTGTTTCTTTTCGCCTTAGATCAGAATTGGACTGGCCATTGACAAGCCTTTTGTGCTATGGCACATGGACTCCCTCAGAGGCAATCAATATGGGACCCCTAAAAAAATATTTAACAGAAATTCAGATACTACCCTGATTTTTAAATTCTAACTATGAACCAATGACACGTACACAAGAGGATAGGGCGGGGATGTTATTACAAGTCACTTTTTCTTTAGTAACTAATGGTAACACAATGGATGGCACAGTTGACAATCAGGAAATGATCAGCTGAATACTTCTTCTTAAAAATGATATACCTGGTGACAAATGCATGGGTCATAGATGACTACCAGTGCTAGTAGGGTGGAATGGGCCCCAACCATCAGTACTAATGGGGTGGAATGGGTCCCAAGTATCAGTAACAGTGGGGCGAAAGGAGCCGAAACTATCAGAACTAGTGAGGTGGAATGGGCCCAACTCAGAATGAAATAGCACGGCCACCAAACAGAGCCCAGTCCGCCTATGCCTTAGAGGCTTAGAGGGTCCAAAAGTGTAAAGATTTCGAAAATTTGCTCATTTTTGGCTACATTTACTCATTCCAATATCCGTATTTTCTAATTGACTATCTAACCATTTTTAGCAAACACAAAAAACAAATAATTGTTCTTGTCCTGGTTTTATCATCATCTGCGTTCAATTTTTATAAAAGCCCATCCACCACCTGCTTAAAATACAAACATCCATCTTAATTACACTTGGTTCGGACGCCCCAAGTCAGCTAGATGATCAACACCAATTTTTAAGTTTAGCCTCAGGTGAAGGACCAACTGTATTTTATCATCATTTTTGGGGGATAACGAATGAGGCGACGCACGCACGCACGCGCACACGCACACACGCACACACACACACACACACACACACACTCGTCCATCCTTCATCCTCTTAACAGGCAGGACGAACTCGTTAATCTACGGACTTCCTTTGCCACGTTTACCTTATTATTGGATTCAAACTACAGGGCGAGTCAAGTCTCCATACATAGGCCAAATGATCACTTTATTATGCAATCACTTGTAAGTCACAAAATATGCTTTATTTGGGCACCATTACACTGAATGCACATACGGATGCGTTCCTCCCACTCATGGCGAACGCACGTTAACAAGTCTGGTGTTATGCGCGCACACGCATCACGAATGCGTTCCTTTAGGTGGTCCGTGTTTTGTATCATCACCTGGTACCACATGGCCTTCAAGTGCTCCACAAGTACAAATCAAGGGGGGTGAGGTCTGGGGGCCTCGGAGGCCACTCCACGGGACCATGGCAGCCAATCCAGTGACCCGGAAACCGCTGATCCAGCCATTGGCGCACGTGGATACCGTAATGGGGTGGCGCCCCATCTTGCTGAATTGTAATGGTGCCCACATAGAGCATATTTTATGACTTACAAGTGATTGCATAATAAAGTGATCATTTGGCCTATGTATGGAGACTTTTGACTCACCCTGTATAAAGAAAACGAAGGCAGTAAAAAAAATTTATTTTCTCTCTCTCTAAACTCTTTTATCACAGTCGCTTCTACAGCCATCAATAAAATATTATTTTTCCTTTTCTATTTTGGTTTTGTCTATTTCCGGGGACGTGGAGACGCTGGTTCAGATACGCCAGCCATAATCACTTCCGCCGTCGAGGAGCAAAATTGTCATCTAGAAATTGTAAGGTCCGAGACTGGCAGATAAAACCGATGATTCCAGCGTACGGGATAGGGCGAGGGAAGGAGGAGGGCTCGGTGCGTTCCCTCCAACATGCTTCTTCCCTATGGTCCAACAACCTAGGTAATCTTAAAATGGGGTCCGATTTTTTTTTTAAGCTGGTAGGTAGTAGGCAGCTATAAAACAGGGAGATACTACCGCCTGGGAAGATACTGGAAACATGATGTCTTGTTTAATGGTAGATCCTGCTGCCATATGGCATCAAAAAATTTGTGACAAAAGTCCCAGGTTACTGATCTTACTGACTTTCTGCCTCATTTACACACAATTTCAGTCTCAATATTATTGTTTCTCTTACTTTGACAACACATATATCGTTTCTCACTCTTAGATACAAAGCGGCTCTTCGGGAGTGAAACTCGTGTGTACAGTACACTGAGCAGGATTTAGAGGATTTTTTTTCTAAAAATCGTTCATAAAGCAAAGCGAAATAGTGAATTCTCACTGCTCAACACGTGAGTGTCATTTTCTATAATTTCCAAGCACATTTTATGACTGGAAAGATGTGCAACTCACTAATATTTAATTCGTGATATTAAAAGTGAGACTCAAGTTCCAGGCAGCTCCGGTACTTAAGGTGACGTCAGGTCCAAGAAAACCATGTAAATCAGCTTTTATAAACTAAGCCACGGGCATCAGCAGGGATAACCAATATCACCTTCAGAAGCTAGAATAAACAAAGCCACATGTATTAGCTGAGAGGAGGAGGAGGAGGAGGAGGAGGGAGGGAGGGAGGGAGGGAGGGAGGTAGCGCCCCACCGCAGCCTTGACCTTCCTTCTCTTCAAGGACGTACCTCTAGAACCAGGTCGTTCACATAAACTATTGTCTATCTCAGCTTCATGAAGGCACTCAGGATGGCGCTGGAGTAACATATGCCAACTATGTGAGATGGCCGTAGCCTGACTCCCTGACTGACACAATAGGCGTTCCCTGTATGAAAGCCACAGGTAGTGTGGCTGGACCCTATCAGGACACACACACACACAGTCATTATGTTCATGGTGTGGTTTTCAGCGTCCGTAGTTTAATGACTGAGAGAAAGTAGTACCTGGGAAAGGTCTGTACACACACACACGTAACACAAATAAAAGAGCAAGTATTTTGGGTAAAATGCATAAGTGTTGCAGAAACTGAGGCGGTATATCAGGGTCGATGATGAGATTAACTAATTTACGCCCCAGCAGTAAGCCCCTTGTGGCACCAGGGAGTAGACACACGCGCATGGGGTAAAATATGCCACTTACATGAAAACAGACCATAACTTATTTCCTCAAACACTGGTTAACTTGAACATCCCCCAAGAAAATACTTTACGAGTATACACTGACGAAGTTCGAAACCAATACATCCTGCAAAGTAACAGAAAGTTTATATGGGATGTGTAGGGATGTGCAGAGCCAAGGTAATGGAAGTGTGTACAGACCTTTGCTCTGGCCGGTGACCTTGTCTCTGAGCACGTTGATCTGGTAAACCTCGCCGTACTCCTGGAACATCTTGCGCAGGTCGTTCTCATCCATGGAGCGAGGGATCTGACCCACGAACATCTTGATAGCGTCGGGGTCAGGCTCACGGTGCACGCTGTCCATCACCCTGCAATTGTAGACACTGTCACACTTCTCAGCGGCAACGTTTCACATAATAATACATGATAAGGTTTATGTAAAAGTGTTAAAGAGATTAATATACATAAACAAAATCGTACTTTTCCTCATCGCTATACATTATGGCTCTCAAATAAAACAGTATAGCACACGACATACGGATTGTATATTCATAGCAACACATAACACTAATAACCCAGTCGATGATGGTGTTATATAACAATAAATACACCAAGTGATACAATATAAAAACAAAAACATCAATAAGGATCAATTATACAAGTCATTCTGCACTCTGCCTAACCCTTGAGGTAACGGGAGAGTACTGCTACATATTACCTAATACCTGGTAGTACGAGTCAAAAGTGCACGTATAGAACCCAAGAGTGTATGCATCGTTTTGAACAATGGTAATCTGTTCACCTTAACTACTACCGTACAATGAGGTGCCGTGCGTTAGAGCGAAGTGTTGTTGCACGTCAAGAGGGAGGTGTTGCACGTAGAGAGGGAGGTGTTGCACGTCGAGAGGGAGGTGCTGCACGTCAAGAGGGAGGTGTTGCACGTAGAGAGGGAGGTGTTGCACGTAGAGAGGGAGGTGTTGCACGTAGAGAGGGAGGTGTTGCACGTAGAGAGGGAGGTGTTGCACGTAGAGAGGGAGGTGTTGCACGTAGAGAGGGAGGTGTTGCACGTAGAGAGGGAGGTGTTGCGTAGAGAGGAGTGTTGCAGAGGGAGGTAGAGAGGTGTTGCACGGAGGTGTTGCACGTAGAGAGGGAGTGCTGCACGTAGAGAGGTGCTGCATGAGAGGTCAGTGTAGTCCAGGAGGTAGATGCCCAGAAGTGATAGCAACTGACACCATATCCCCTCACCATCATCCATCACGCTAACGACGACACACACACACACACACACACACACACACACACACACACACACACACACACACACACACACACACACACACACACACACACACACACACACACACACACACACACACACACACACACACACACACACACACACACACACACACACACACACACACACACACACACACACACACACACAGCACGCACGCACGCGCGCGTGGAAGGAGTGATGGCGGAGGCGTGGAAGGAGTGATGGTGGAGGGTGGAGGAGTGATGGTGGAGGCGTGGAGGGGGTGGTGGTGGAGGCGTGGAAGGAGTGATGGTGGAGGCGTGGAAGGAGTGATGGTGGAGGCGTGGAGGGGGTGGTGGTGGAGGCGTGGAAGGGGTGGTGGTGGAGGTGTGGAGGAAGCGGTGGAGTTTCTGTACACAGGTCCCCTCGTGTCCCTCCACACACTACCATCAATCCAAAGACCAACAACAACAACAACTTCACGACACCGCTCACTGCGTTCTTAAGACGTCACCGGCTATTTTCTAAAACGATTCTTGAGTACATTCTTACGACGTCGCAGAAGACCCCAACGATATCAGAGACGGTACTCTGATCTGTCATGGATGACATTAATGATGTCGCCCAACCCCTAACGACGTCACATAGACAAATACACCATTTCGGGATTTTCGTGGCGTCGCAAAGCAGAAGGTCTACATCGCCAAGACGTCTTAACCCCCACATAAACAACTCCTCAACTACCAAATGTTCCACGCCAGAGACACTCCTACTCGCATTTTAATCCATCCATAAACAGGATTACCCGCCAATGTCTTTCGGCCAGCACGCGATCTAACAATCAATCTTGGTCGAGACAATCAGCTGCCGGCGTCCTCTGTCATGGTGCAGTCCGCTGAGAAGACCCGCCATGTGGGGCTTATGAGGCGTCGTGCTTTACCTCTTCCTGCCCCTTGTAATTCCCACCCACCATTTCCTCCTCTTCATTTACCTTACTTTTCTCCTCCACACCCTCCTGCTCTTTCCTCACCTCCTCCTTTTCCCGATTTTTCTCCTCCTGCCACTTCTTTTACCCTTTATGTCCCTCTTCCTCGCCATTATCTTCTTCCTCCTACTTTTCTCTTATTCTTCCTGTGTCCCTTAACGACGATGAGCTCCTCTGCGTATTCCTTAAACTCTTCTTCTTCCGGTTTCAATCCCGTATTCTTCTCTTATCCCCCTCCTTCTCCTCCTCGTCGTCGTCTTCCCACCCTCCCTGCCTCCTAGGACCCTCAGAATCGGAATCCAATACGAGGGCAGCGGGAGGGCGCCACTAACGGCCTGTACCGCGCATCTCTTCCTACTACTCCAACACCCAACAATTTCCGTCTGGTTCAACCATCGCCCAGTGCCGCAATCAGCGATAGGGCCGCCCCTCAACCGACCCTCTAGTACCTTCCCTTCACCCCTCATCACTACCATCTACCTTCCCTTACCCCTCACTCGCCATTTTTTCCCCTCACCCCTTACTATCGTCTTACCTTCCCCCATCCCTTACTGTCATGCATCCTCCCTTACCTCTTGCTACCGTCTTATCCCTCATATCTCACTACAGTCTTACCTTCCCTCACCCCTTACTATCATTCATCCTTCTTTATCCTTCGCTACCGTCAAACTTCTCTCACCCCTCACTACCGTCCTTTCCCTCACTCCTCACTATAGTCTTACTTTCCCTCACCCCTCATTTCTCACTACCGTCTAACCTTCCCTCACCCCTCACTAGCGTTCATCCTTCCTCACCTCTCAGTATCATTAATTCTCCCTCGCCTAATCAGTATTGTTTATCCTCTCTCCCTACCGCCCATCCTCCATCACCTTGATCCACCTTCCTTAACCCCCACCCACTTCTCCCTTGGTCAACATCCACCTTCCTTACCTATATAACTCTCTATCCACCTCCATCACCACTACTATCCACGTTCCCTTCCAATCATCGCCCCTCACCACCACCATCCATCCATCCACCTTGTAACTATCCACTCTATCACATATAATTTCCACACACACACACACACACACACACACACACACACACACACACACACACACACACACACACACACACACACACACACACACACACACACACACACACACACACACACACACACACACACACACACACACACACACACACACACACACACACACACACACACACACACACACACACACACACACACACACACACACACACACACACACACACACACACACACACACACACACACACACACACACACACACACACACACACACACACACACACACACACACACACACACACACACACACACACACACACACACACACACACACACACACACACACACACACACACACACACACACACACACACACACACACACACACACACACACACTTTTCATTCAACTTCCCGAGTTTCTAGTCCCCAATCCTCCTCCCTCTCCCTCCTGTGATCACACCATCCCGCTTAGTAACCCCAACTCCACCGAATCTTCTCGCTTATATTAATCGTCAAACATCCAAAAGCCGGGTCCTCACGCCTTGAGCATAACATTGAATGGTTCTTCTACTGTGGGACAACTCCTTCCTTCGCGCGAATTCATCTTGCTGGACTATGGAAAAACTATCAATACAACTCCTGACAAAAGTTTTAAAGTGGGGTAATTTAAGGTTTAGTCGTGAGTCACAACCTGTCAGCAGGCTGGAGGGAACAACCACCTGCCACACTGCCTCATTTCTTACACAAGATTTACAAGAGTTATTTTTTTCAGTAACTCAGAAACTAGTGATTTTTTTTGGTGTGTGTGTGTGTGTGTGTGTGTGTATTTTCAGGAGTTTCCAGCACCGGGGAGACCCTGCAGAAAGGTTCCACATCCGTTATCATGTAGTATTCTCAAGACTTACTGTTCTAGCTAATTGTCCTGCTATCGACGCGGTACACGCACCTTCCAGGTGCATTTCCCCTCCCCCACCTGACCCAGGCCTCTACCAACTCCCTCTTCATCAGTCAGCTAGAGGTTGAGGGAGGGAAGGAGGGTGGGAGGGGGGGAGGCAGTGAGAATGTTTGATTGTTCCCCGGATGCCAATAAAAGTTGGTTCGTTTGATTCTTTTGAGAGGAGCATATTGCCATAAAGGAAAATGTTGTGTTATGAGTCTCTGTGACACCGCCCGCCCTCTACGGAATATTGACTTTTGTGTCGCCATGGATCGTGTACCATGATATAGTACAGTTCAAGTGTGGGCGTCACACCCAAAGATTTTTCACGCATGTAACAATCACTCTGTAAATCTCCCTTTGAGCTGACCATTTAATACTGTGTTGGTGTTTTGTTTATGAAGCTCTACAGCTGAGCCCCAATTCGAATGCATTCCACTGAACGAATACCCCTTCTGACATGACTTGTCCAACACTATTTCGAAAGCGTTGTTAACTTCACGTGCCTCGCACTCGCGCTGTTATTAACTGAGGCTATGTCTCGAATTTTGACGGCAGGAGCACCGTCAGCAGGGGCAGTGCAGTCCAGGGCAGCACGGCAGTGTGCAATATTCCCGGGTCATTACACTCGTCACTGAGCATCACCGGATGAACTTTCTACCTTGTCCACGTGCTCTGACATAACACTGTTATTCAATAGCGAGTCATACTGTTTCTTTTTGTGACTTACTGACGTTGGTGGTTGCTGGTGAACGAGTGATCCTTGAAGAGTGTCAACAGCATGTCCCTATCGTGTGTAGCAGCCGGCATGGATTCTCAAAGGACCATATGGTAAATTTTCCTATAATAGTTGACATGAAAACATATTTTAATGGCATGCATCAAACCCACACGGTAAGACTCCCCTCCCCCCTCCTCCCCACACACACACACACACAAACAAAGCTATGCACCATAATACACACTACTGACTATTCACATATCAATTAGCGTCAATTTTATGTGCGTGTAGTCGAGTACTTGGCTGTCTTATAACAGAGCCATTTCATCATACTTGGTCGTAACTCACCTCCATCCTCCACCCAGCACTGTCTTCCTCCCTCATCCTCTGCTCCCCGCCCTCCTCCCTCTTGGCACCTCTCGTTCC